TCCTCAGCCAGCAAAGCTGGCTGAGGAACTCTGGGAGTTGAAGTCCACAAGTCTTAAAATTGCCAAGGTTGGACACCCCTGCATTAAAGTCTGCTTATCTTGACTTCAGAGCCCTTAAGATGGACTGTCATATTCCCAAAATAAGGTGGGACGAATTTTTTCCTGTGAAGTTTATGCTGAGGAGATTGATACAAACTTAAACCTTTTGAACCTCTTTGATACTAGCCACAGATCTCAGTCTCAGAAATCAATAGATCACCTGAATTCTGGAAAGGCGTTAGGAATAGATTTCAGCTCTCTAGAATATATTAAAATAATCTGGGTTAGTTTGAATTTATTTCATTTTTAATTCTACTTTATTACTTTTACTTACGTGATCCTCCATTTACAAGGACAAAGTATCATTAAGTACACTGGTATTAAAACAAAAAAAAAAACCAGTCATAATTCAACTTACTTGATGCACTGCTGTTCAAGAATAAAATTATTTTTCTTCATCCCCAAATGCCTTTCCAAAGAGCCGTGTGTTTAAGGCTCTTCCAAAAAGTTACAAAAAAACAAATTTATGGTCCATATATCTGGGGACAGGCTGTTCCAGAGGAGATGGGGAGCAACATGAGATAGCATTCCCTTAACAGTGGGACTCTCTCCCCACTCTACCATATCTGTCTGGACTGACAGATTTAATTTAGAGGAGGTGGTCCCAGAAATATGTATATAAGGCTTAGCTTTTAGCCATGTGGGGCTTTAAAGATGGCAACCAGGATCCTTTCAGCACTGGCTGAAAGTTCTACATCAGGATGTCAAACTCAAAGCCCGTGAGTGCTTAGATCTGGACCGCAGGGCCACCCTAGAAACCACGCAAGACCAGCCTGCTGTGCCTCTTAAGAAGAAAGGAGAATGAAGAGGGGTAGAAAAATAAGAAAAGGAAGGGAGGGAGGGAGGGAATTAGATCCTCCAGCCTCTCCCAGGCCACCACAGATGCCCCTGATATGAGTGATGTTGAGCGAGTCAAACCCCGGCCATTCCCACCTGGACACCCAAAGTCAAACACAACCCTGATGTGGCCCTCAATGGAATCGAGTTTGACACCCCTGTTCTATATGGTCTTTAAGGGCAGCTCTGCATAGGGTGCTCTGCAGTCACCCATGAAGTGACAAGGCACGAGTGACTGTGAATAAATTCTCCTGACCCAGAAAAGCCATAGAATACATATAAAAATGGAATTATGAAAAGATCCCTTTAACTCAGCCTCTACCTGTTCTTCAAAGATGTACTATTTTTGGACTCAGGAGCTTTTGAATTCCCATCAGGATTCCATCTCTGTTTATCCCCATCAAACTTTCCAGGCTTTCGGGACCAGACCATCACTAATGGCCTGTCTGATGCCTTCAAGCCACCTTAGTAATACAGTCTTCTTTAATCTGGTGCCTCGAGGATATGTCGAGACTGCAGTTTCCACAATTCTAAACCGGTATAATGCTGTAGTTCAGATGCTCCTGACTGGAGAAAGTTGGATTAACTGCATGCTGATTATTACTGAAAGTCCTCTTGTCAAAATTACCACTTAGTAATGACTGGCCTGCAGTGCCTCTGCCAGCAAAAATGGAGCTCATTTTCAGGCTAGCAAAACAAACTAAAAGCAAAACAAAAGGTGAAATGTTTCCCCTTTGGCATTTGAGCATCTAAGAAGGGACAGGAAAGGAGAAAGGGAAAGAGAGAAAAAGAAGGAAAGATGGGAAGAGATAAAGAAGGAAAAGGAAGGAAGGAAGGAAGGAAGGAAGGAAGGAAGGAAGGAAGATTATAATGAGAGGAAGGGAAGGTCTGAGGGAAATTCTGCCTTGGCCACCCCAGGTGCCCCCAACATGAGTGATGTTGAGCTGGCCACACCTACCCCCTACCCCAATGTCAAACACAACCCTGATGCAGCCCTCAATGAAATCAAGTTTGGCACCCCTGATTTAGTGGCACAGTGGTGCAGTATTGCAGGCTAATTCTGCTGACTGCCAGCAGTTTGATCCTGACTGGCTCAAGATTGTCTCAGCCTTCCATCCTCCTAAGGTCAGTAAAATGAGGACTCAGATTGTTGAGGCCAATATGCTGATTCTGTAAACCGTTTAGAGAGGACTGTAAAGCACTGTGAAGTGGTATATAAATCTAAGTGCTATTGCTATTAATGTTCAACAGGCAAATTTTGGTAGGCTTGAGGAAGTTCTGCACTTAACCAGTGTACAACATACTTTCAGCAGCAATTTGCAGAAGATCGTTCATTGCAAAAAACCAGTTTTTCTTCCTATTAGTGGTTTTATTAAGGCCTCCTATTTTAGTGAGCTTTTATTTCAGTTTTGTGTAGTAGAACTACAACAGAGAGAGAAAGAAGAGAGAAGCTGATCAGTTTATGCAATGATTGATATTAGGGAAAGAGAATATTTTCTCCCTTTCTATTCCAAACTGATCTCACATAGAGGGAATTCTTCACCATGAGATTCAACAATGGCCAACATCTAAGACAATTTTTAAAAAGTAAGCCTACCAACTTCATAATGAAGTAGCTTTTTTGGCATTCAGAAATGGCAGACCAGAGAATCAATTGCTAGTGGCAAGGAGGAGATGGCAATCACTTTTATCTTCTGGCTGGGCAATTTCAGGCATAGAGTTAAAAACAGAATACTAGATGAGATGAAATAAAGACATTTCCAAGATAGCTTTTTTCCTAAACCATTTAACAAATGAACCTAATTTCAGTAGATCACTCAAAGGAAAGAGAATGGCCAAGTTACCTAATTAGTGTATTTAAGGAATGCATACATTTCCATCATGATGGGGGTCATTGATGAATGAGACTATTTTTTTAATTTAATCTGTTAACTTTAATCACAAATATCAAGAAAAATTAGATGCCAAGTCTCACCCAACTTATACTGCATGAGTTTCAAGTGATCATGAATACTTTATGGATTATTCAGTGTTGAAAAATAATTAATTTTCTTAATTTTTAGTTAGCATGCCCCATTATTCATCCTTATCTGTCTATTAAGAGTCATTGTTCCCTCTAACTAGTGAAAGTGTGCTCCAAAGAAATGCTGATATTTTAACGAAATATCCAATCACAATGTCAGGGTTCCAAGTAACAGCCCAGATGAAATCAAAACTCCAAGGCCAAAGGCTCCCTCAAAGTATAGATTTATTAGGCATGTCATATTGGCACATCTGGTGAAAACCCAACTCAGAAGACCCCGGGTTTTCCCCACCCAGTTCAAAATCCAAAGTTCTTCCCCCCATTACACACAACCATCACATGCCGCAATCAGGTCCTTCTTCCCATCGTGGAGCCTCCCACCCACTCCTCTCCAGGTGCTGGCAAGAATGTTATTTTGGCTACATACTCTCCCACTTATCTCTACTCCCCCGTCCCTTTCCCACAGCTCCATTCAGCCTCCATTTGAGGCAACCCTGAAGACACTCAAAGATGGCTCCAGGGTTGACTGGAAACGTATACTGTATCTGTTTTAAAGAACACATGCAATTAACGTGCCTACAACCAGCAGGACAACATAAATGCAAAATGGTATTGGCATAAAATATATTTTTACAAAATGAAATGGTAATGAAACCAAATGGCCACCTCATGTTCACAAATACTTTATTAAAGGTGCAACCCTAAATATTAAATATTTCAATCATTTTAACTATATTAAATATTTTAAATATCCTAAATATGCTACATCGGTTGATATAAATGTTGCATTCTTTGTACTTGCAAATGAAAGGACTGGACCACTCAACAGCTGATGATACACATCTGAATAAAAATTGCATTTGCTGATAATATAAAAACCCTTTGTTGTTGTCTTTTGATCTGTTATACTCATCAGCAGATGAGCATGCATACTGAGGGAGGGAGGAGGAGGAGAGAGAGAGAAAAAACAATAAGATGGCAGTACTCTGATTTCTTCACAATTTCTAGTTTGTCAACTTTAGCTAATTTATTCATTTTAATTATTTTTAATTCCCTTTTGAGGAGGAAAGGAGATTTCTCAGATCAAAAACAATGCTTTATTTATTGTTGTGAGAAGTGTGCCAAAATGAATGAGGGGCATTGATAGGTTTGAGAAACAGAAAAAAATAGATTTGCATAGGCCAAAATTATGGAAAATGAAATGCAACTGTTTGAATTCACTTACAAAGAAATAATTTGTTACAATCAGTGTTGATCAATTGTCTTAACTGGCTAGTAAACATAGCCCCAGCCATGTCGCGTGGCTGCTTGCAAAGAAGCAATTCCTGAATTCTGGAATTGAAGAGGCTAACTCTGTACACTGATTGCTGCCAAAAGTAACCCTGCACAAATCTATTGAAAAATACTAAGTTGAAGATGGCCATCTTTCAGACCCAAGCTTTCTCTTACCACCCTTTTCCCTAATTCATCAGAAATCCCAAACTTCTCCCCATTTCTAAAACAAAGACTCCAACTCTGATAGCTCGCTGGCATTTTCAGAGTTAAAGGTGACAACAATCTGATTCATTGTTGTCACTAGGGGGTAGGGTGTTATAGTTTAATTGTTGGTACATTGGATTTTTATTTCTGTAAGCTGCCCAGAATCACTGAGAATGTGTGGACAGCCATATAAATTTTCATTCATACATACATACATACATGCATGCATGCATGCATGCATAGATACATATGTTCTTTGTATGTTTTGTTATGCCTTGGGGATTTAAATGTAAATTGTGTACTCTAAGATTTCTCAGATAAAATTCTGTGAAATGCTAAATGTGAATATTTTGTGGATTGTAGGCAATCATTGCACACACATAACATTGGAATACTGAAAAGCTATTCCAGGATTTGTTTTCGACTATAGTTCCCATAAATCCATCACTGAATTGTTATTGGAGCTGTCTGTAACTATATCATTGAGAGCAGCAGGTGCCTATTTCTTACCTAGCATGAAATTATTGATTTTATACTGCATTTTAATTGCAAATGTGCTGAATTAAGGCTGGAAAGCTACCAAGAAGAAATCTGATTTATATTTCAATAATAAATTTAGAAATGAAATTGGAAAAAAATATAGGTGGAATTAATGAGACAAAAACTTCTAAGCACCACCAACACAACCAACGCATGCAAAGTTGCATGTGTAAACAACCTTTCCTTAACAGCTTACAAGTAATTATGTACAATATATCCACATTATTTGAACTCCTCTTGATTTGAAGTGTTTTAACGTTGCCAAGTTGCACATTCTTTAGATAATTGAATGAAAGCACTGAGGAGGTAACTAATCCATTTAGCCGTTTTATGATGCGCAAGACCCAGGACTGCTTCTATGTTTATTGTTATCCTGAGGAATATGACTGGATCCCACACTGGGCTTGGGTTATATTGAGCTTAGCTTATTTAGTGGAAGTTAAGTCCTCAATTCTTTGCCTTGCTCAGGAAGATTGAAAACACCAGTAGGTAATCCTTCCACAATTTAATTACAGCAAGCTGCCCTTCATCCCTGCCAGACATGGTTTAGCGGGGTGGAAGGATGAAAACCAATGAAAGCAGGAATGTTTCTGGAGAAAGCCAGGCAAATTATAGTTACATTTTAACAGGACTGCTTACAGGAGAGCGTGCCTGAATGGGAAGCCTTCAGCCAAAAATGTAGGGTCATTTCTAATCCGCCTGTTACCTTTAACCCTTCTTATCCACACCCACCCTTGCTCCTGTCCTCTCATCAGTCTTCTTCCTCAACTTGCTTTCCCATTTCTTATTTCTCTTTCCAACCTTCTCTGCTCCCCTTTCCTGTTTTATATCGCCATGACCTTGTTCCTGTGTTACACTGCTAATATTTATAATAATAATAAATAATAATAATATTTGGTTTGAGTTTAATAAATTGTGTAAACTCTGTATTGGTAGGTAGTCAACCATGCTTGATGGAATACCACCACATCATTACAAAAGGGAACCAGCTGCAGTCTCCTTAGATTTCCCCAGATCCCCTTGTCTACCAGGGAATACAAACCTTTCATACGCTTCACTCATACACCTATATACACCCACACAGATACTCACTGGGGAGGGAGACTCACATCTCCTACATATTTACACATATGTGAGATGGAACGGTTAAATTGTTTTTTTAGACTTACAGCCTGACTTTCCTCTTATCATAAATTTAGAGTAGAAAATTACTCTCTCCGCACATTTGTGAAGGAGAAAAAGAGGGACTTGCCCAAAGCCCCTCAGGAAGCTTCCATGCCTAAGAGTGAGTTTGAAGCTGGATTTCCTGGATCTTAGCTCAACACTTTGACCACTACACCATACTATTAAAAGTAATGTTAAGGAATTTGTATTGTGTTCTATAATTAAACAATTAACTAAAACAATGTGATGCTCATTTTGTAGTTTTTGGGGAGGGGAGCGGCTGTCTCTATCTGCCTTGGAGTCCCCAACGTGTTGTTTAATTGGTTCTATCGCATATCTCTCACTTCACAGATATGGTGCACCCAGCCAATTGTTGTTTGTTCAATAACTATGGTTAACCAAGCCCTCTTATTTGTAGTGATGAATGAACATCATCTCTAGATTGTAGCCCTTATCTCTCTTTCCATGACTTGGAGAGCAGAGTACCATATTTGCACATATTAATACATGTTGCTTATTTTTGCCATTGGGCAAAACAGCTTCCAGCCCTAACCCCAAATATCTTGAAGGAAAAACAGCCTGCAACAGAAAAGGGATGGCCCACCCTTG